GGCGGGAGAATCCGCAGGGGCGTCGGCCTCGAAGGAGGACGTGACGGGGGGATCGGCGGAAGGGGAGAGGAACAAGCTGGTGTTTGTGAACGGAGGGGGAGGGGGTTACAGATTCGATCTGGAGGACCTGCTGAGGGCGTCGGCGGAGGTGTTGGGGAAGGGGAGCGTGGGGACGAGCTACAAGGCGGTGCTGGAGGAGGGGACGGTGGTGGTGGTGAAGAGGCTGAAAGATGTGGGGGTGGGGAAGAGGGAGTTCGAGGAGGAGATGGAGAAGCTGGGGAAGATGAAGGACGAGAACGTGCTCCCTCTCAGAGCTTTTTACTTCTCCAAAGACGAGAAATTGTTGGTCACTGATTACATGCCTGCTGGTAGCTTATCTGCTCTTCTTCATGGTATCTATCTCTCTCTCTATGTCTCTCTCATTCATCTTCATTCTTCCCATTCTTTTTTTTTCTTTCTATTTCTTCTCCACCCCAAACAAATTTTCTTTTTGCTTACACATGGAAATTATTGTTTCGAAATTGAGTATTGGTTAGATGCAAATTTGTGATATTTGTGTCACTTTAGGAAAAAAAAAATGAGAATTTCACTTCCAAAGATGGTACCCAAAAATATATTCTAAAAGTTTAAATTTACATTTTGATGACTTACATTGATACAAAATGACAATATGATTGCAAAATTTTGCATTTATATTTTGTGTCAATTTATGTTTACATTTTGGGTTAAAATATTTGGGGCAGAAGTAATTGATTCCCTTAGTTAGAGCAACTCCAATGGGAGGGGTATATGAAAAGTTAAAGAGAAATAATTGTGATATATAGGAGTACCTTTTTTCATTAAAAATTATTCTCGAATGGGAGAGGTAAATAAGTAGGTATTATACCTTCTTCAATTTTGAAGAGGTATCTTTACCTTCTTCATTTGGGGAGGTATATCAACTTTTCCCACTTTTTAAATTTATTTCATCAATTACTTTAGTTATTGTATTTTTGTTTGAATGTATTATTATAAATTTTTAATTTGTATCTTTGTAATTGTAAAACTTAACAAGTCAAGAATTAACAAAAAAAAGTATACTTTGTTTTTTAATTTTGCACTCTGTATTTTTTAGTTTTTTCTATTCGGATATTTATAATTTTACATGTGCAATTAGACATAATGTATATTTAACTATTTCAAAACTGACATTCTAATTTTTTTCCAACAAACCTCAAATTTACCTCCCCATGATTTTTTTAAGAATGTATATTTTCTTTTCAAATAATTAAAATTTGATTTAAGAAGGTAAATCAACTAATTTTTTCCCAATAATGTATAGGGATGGATTTTTTCCATCTTTTGCCTTTTGATTTACCTTCCCTCACTGGAGTTGCACATTTTTTGGAAAGGTAAACTTGATTACTTGGAGAGGTAAATGAGATATATACCTCTCCAAGATACCTCCCATCATTGGACATGAGGATAAGGGGATTTTTCTTTACAATTTTCAAATATCTATTTTCTTCGTTCGTGGTTGTCCGAGTTCTTTTTTTCTTTTTCTTTTTTTCACTTTTAGAAAAAGCTACAGGCTACAGCCCTTCCTATAATTGACATTGCATTTCACATTTGTCTTGCAAATTTGTTTCACACATACACTAGATCACGGAAAATAAATTATTCCCAGAATCAGTGACGGGAAATGCCATCTTTAAAAAAAAAAAAATTACGGTAGGTGGGTACAATTTCACGTAGTTTTTTTAGTCATGCTAGGAACCCAATGGTTTTTCTCCACGGATGACAATCACATGTAATTTTGTACATAAATAGAGACGATGTCACTTTTAATTTGGGAGGTAAAAGGAAGCATTATGGAATATAGAGGTGTGATTATGGATATTATTGTGAATTATTTGATCCCTCAATTTATGCCATGTTTTTAGGTTGTCAAGGGAACAACACCTTGTGTGAGTTGTACTTTAGATTTGAAATACATTGGCCAACAATGTGGATCATCATGACTCGCCACCAACACGTTTTCCACTTTTATCATTGTTTATTCACAAAGATTAAAAAGAAGGCAGAAAAAGAATGCCTTTATTAACAAACATCTGCATTTTTATCTCAATTAAGCAGCCCAATTTGGCATAAGAGTTTGTGAGGTGTAATATGTTATACTTGTCTGCTTGCTTGTAAATCCATCTTCATTGACTTTCTTTCTTTCCCCATACATTTTTGGTTGTTTAGTGTCTTGATCCATGAGTTTCAACGTCTAGATTTGGAAGCTCATTCTAACTTATACGCTTGTCTTTTGCCATTTTGGGATTTACTTGCCCAAGGGTTGTGAGTTCATGTCACTTTCCTTGAGATGAATGAACGGATGCAATTTTGTTTGTTTAACGAGTTCAAACTCGTGACCTCTTGGCTCTGACACCATGTCAAGGAACCAACTCAACCAAAAGTTTGAACTTTTGGAAGCTTTTGGTTGTGACCCAGGAAAGGTTTTTGTACTCTAACACTAGTGCCCGGGCTTCTTTATTGGTGGGACTAAAATGTAGAGGGCTGTGAATATATGTACGCAGGGAGCAGAGGGTCCGGGCGCACACCCCTAGACTGGGAGAGCCGGATGAACATAGCGCGAAGCACAGCCAGAGGCATTGCATATTTGCATGTCACAGGCAAAGTCACCCATGGCAACATCAAAGCATCAAACATCCTCCTCAAGCAAGACAACTCCGCCTGTCTCTCAGACTTTGGGTTGAACAATCTCTTCTCCACCACCTCCACACCTCGGGTTGCGGGCTACCGTGCACCCGAGACCGTTGAAACCCGAAAACCCACTTTCAAGTCCGACATATACAGCTTTGGGGTATTGATACTTGAGCTCCTAACAGGAAAATCCCCAAACCAGGCTTCACTAGCCGAAGAAGGCGTGGACTTGCCCAGGTGGGTTCAGAGTGTTGTCAGGGAGGAATGGACAGCTGAGGTTTTCGACGTTGAGCTTATGCAGTACCACCACAATGTGGAAGAGGAGATGGTACAACTACTTCAGGTGGGAATGTCGTGCGTTTCTCTGGTCCCAAACCAAAGACCAGACATTCTTGATGTCCTTAGGATGATCGAGGAGATCAATGGTAGAGGTGATGACACACACGATACGTCGAAAGGGCCCCACAACCAAACAACGACGACACCGTAACCCCCCCAATCGCATTGGCATTTATTTATATTTAGAGGTAAAATGTGTGAGAAAATTATTATTTGAGAGAGAACATGGTTATAAGTTGTTGACTGTACTTTGATCATTTGATGTATTGGCTGGTTGTTCTTTTGTCACCTTATTCTTTTTGTTTTTCAAATATTGTATGATTGGAGAAAGTGATGCATCTTGGTGTTGCATTTGGCTTTTTCCATGTATTGTGTAACTAGTAATTGGGTGCCCACTAAAGTCTACATTACCTATTTCAGAATTTCAATTTTTCATTGAATGTGATTAGAAGTTGCCAGCTTGGAAGTTGAAAATTTTACACCTTCAAGTTCCAATTAGTGTGTTCTTATTACCCATTTATTATTTCCCAATAATGTCAATCTAGTATGAATGATCAGACTTAAGTGTAAATTCAATGCGACTTTCTTGGATTTGCTTGGATTTTAGCCCATTTTTGGGAACTTATGTCTTAGTCCAATGCTAATTTTTCAGAATGTAAAAAATTACTAGTTTTTCTTACTAACAAGTCAGCTTTTAGACATAGAGAAATACGTCAAGCTAATTTAGTATGTTAAAACTAATTGTATGTAATTTTGACCAGCTTAATAGTACAAGGAAATACTTTCAAAATTCAAAATCTCTCTTTTCATGAGTTCAATTCAATGGCACCATAAACTGGGTGAATTGTCACTCTTATTGTCGGTGAAAAATATTTTGACTTTTTAACGTCAAAACCCTGCACTCTTTCTGTTTGTTCCAAACTTTTAGAATTGCACTACTGGTCTTTATACTATTAAAATATATTTTTCTCTCAACTTTTAAATTATACCATTGGTCTCTAAACTACGGAGTATTAAAAATGGTGTATGATTAGTTCCCATGTTTGATTTTTAAAGATTTTACATTTGCATGTTTGATTTGAAACAAAAGTTAAAGAAAGAAAAAAAGTGTAATCGAAAGTTGTTAGAGAATATCTCACATCGGAAAAGTGAGAAAAAAAATAGGTACGTAAGTATTTATGTTGAACTAAATATTCAATTGGATTTAATTTTTTAATATGATTCAGCTCAAGTATCTTATAGTCAGGTCTAGTGATCCTTACCCAATCCTAAAATTCACTTCCGGTGAGAGAATTATCCCACATCAAAAAAGTGAGAAAAAAAAATAGGTATATAAGTTCTTGAGTTAAATTAAGTAATCAATGAGATTTAAACATTTAATTTAATCCATCTCAAATGTCTTATAGCCCCATCTAGTGACTCTCATCCCATTTTAAAATTTTATCAAAACTGGTGCAGAAAAAGAAAATTTATACAGGCTACAAAAACTTTTCTAAAAAGAAAAACAAGATTTTTTTTGGAACAAACTAAAAAAGTAAAGTCCGTCTTTTTAATAATACTAATAACTGTAATAGAAATACTATTTTTATCGATTCAAACATTATTAAGTCCTATTTATGTAATAAAAAAGTTTAAGTCCTCCATTGGGAAATGACTTATGTTTTAGTCCTATTCAGTGCAAATTTCACAAAAAAGATTAATATTTCATATTCTGCAATATGTTTGGATAAGTGAAGTCCACTATACACTTGAGGGGAAACTTGTATCGAAAATCAAGAACTCGGGTGGAATTTAAAGTTAACATTTTCATCAATCATCTGATCAAGCTTTCCATCTCTGATTTTGATTATCCAATCATAAAAAGTTTGTGTGTCCATATATGCGCAAAAAAGCATATATGAATGCAATCTCATATTCTTGGTCACTGTACAATTTTTACAACACAACCATAATTTTGATGAATTCATGGTTGTATCTACAATTTTCTCTCTCAAAATTCTAGGTAAATCTGGAAGATTCTCCAAAAATCACCTCCGGGTAATAATGATTTTCCTCCAAATGGTTTATTTCTAAAGTTATTATTATTATAGCAATCCAATGCCTCAAAAGTAATTTTTTCATCATACATGTTTCATCTCATATAACTAGACTTGCTTGTTGGATTAGTTCTGTTTTCTGTCTCTCTTGTTTGATGGCACATGTTGAATTTCGGTTAGCGCCAAAGGATTGAAAATCATGAGTGTATTGTCCTTCTACCAGGCAAAAGCAATGTTTTAATACCACTGTTGTGACATTCAAAACAACCTTGTCATTTGATCTCAAAGAAGAAAATATTAATTTCTGGAGGAATATTTTTCTAGTTCTATTGTAATCATACACGAAAAAACGCCTCCTCTTTCTGCAGTCATGACTTCCATTATTTCTTCTTTAACTTTATCTGATCTTCATTCATCGTAGATAAATATTTATAAGACTAGTTGACAACTTTTTTAACTTTTATCATAAAATAATTATTGTAATTTAACTTTTTTTGGCTCTAAAACCTTTGAATATCACAAATTTTTAGAAATTTTTAACATAAATATACGTTTAGTCCAACATAAATTTTTAGAAACTTTAATTTGTATGCAATACATCTTTTACGATAATCCACTGATATTTATTTCCATGAAATGACATAATAATTTTTTTCATACTTTTCTATTTTTTTGAAAACTTACTTTAAAAAATTTGAATTACAACGTCTTTTCGAGAACGACAATCTAAATAGTCTCTTCGATATTCTACTACACATTTTTCCTATCAAAATGATACAATAAAAAATGTTTAAATGGCACACCAATTACTATTTTGAAACGACCCTATAATTTTACTTGACGAGTAATCATAATTTTTTTCTATCATTTTTATTTTGGATCACTATACCTATTTTGGTATTATAGTTAAGAGATCATTCTAGATAGAAATAAAATATAGAAAAAGTACCGAAAATAGAAACTCCGTGTTTTAATCCCAAAACATATATATGCATTTATATGGTCGTGATTGACATTGTATATGCATTTCAAATCCTACTTCAGGAATAAAAACATGAATTTTTTATTTTGATATATTTTATATATTTTATTTCCACTTAAATTTTTCCCATTATAATTTTATTTAATTTAATGAAATTATATCATATACCTGCAATATCTATCCTCTATAAAATAAATATTGTAATTTAATTTTTTTGTTTCTAAAAACTTTGAAGAGTATATTCCTTTAGAATTTTTCTAAACATAGATACACGATTGGTTTAAAATATCATTACATTAATTTTTTTCAATTAATCACTACCAAAGGTTTTGGCGGATACAAAATTTTTGTTTACAAATTACTCCCTCCATCCCAAATTATAATGCACTATTCACATGATCAAACTTCATTCACTTTCTTTCTCTATTTTCGTTAGCAATTTGATAAAATAAAATATTGTTGTCACTACTAGTTTTATAGATCTTTTGATGTAGTATTTTGATATGTAATTTTTATTTTTTAACCCTATACCATTTGTCATATAAAATGATTTGAAAATAACTTCAGTCACACATTGTAAATCGAAACAGATGTTATAAAATGGGACGGAGGGAGTACTACGTACATGGTACAAGAATATGTACGGTACATCATGACAAACTTGTACTCCCTCCGTCCTAAAACTTTCTTCCCATTTCTCCTTTTTCCCTGTCCTAAAACTACCTTCCCATTAGAAAAACAGATGACAAATGACATTAATACCCTCATGTATTTACACCAATTATCTTCTAACTCTATATTTTGAATGAATGCAAAAAAAAATTCAAAAAATCTTTTTTAAGGAGGGTAAAATTTGAAGTCAAAGCCAAAAATTAAAAATGGGGAAAAGTCAAACTGGGAAGAAAGAATTAGGACGAAGGGAGTAATAAAAAAATCTTTCAGAATGAATACTACGCTATTTCAGAATGAACTCTATATTATTTTAGAATGAACACATTACACTGAACAGAGTTAGTATGAACATTACATTGATTTAGGAAAAAAGATTAAAGTAGAAGCATAACATTGAAAATATACCAAAATAGAACTTCCACGTTTTAATTTCCGAAACAAGAGTTAAATTGTATTTACGTTACCAAACGTAGTCATGTACATTACCGAAAAGTATAGTAATTTGGACGTGTACAGTGTCAAATTACCTCCACATTACCACACTCCTATTTCAAGAATAACAGCATGAAAGGTCTATTTTAATACTTTTTCTATGTTTTAATCTTATCTACATTTCTAATTAATTTAGAATGAATATACTGATGTTTCAAAAAAAAAAGTGAGAATATACTGATATACTACCTCCATCCCGCTAATTCGTCCACTTTTGACTTTTGGAACTGTTCATCTAAGTACTTCGACTTATCAAATTCTCTCAATGTGTAAGCCTTAATATAGTCATGTGTGATCTTGTTTGATTTGTCTTAACATATAGATTATTAATATATAATTCCTATAATTTTTTAATATACAAATTACAAGATAAAATGGATTAAAAAAGTGCATTAAATGGTGTGTAAAAATGAAAGTGGACAAATATAGTGGGACGGATGGAGTACATTGATTCCATATAAACATTTGCTTAATGAGTACAATGTCATGCCCTAAGCTCAGATAAGGAAAAAAAGGAGCTTGATTGCACAGAGATGGGTGCCGAGAAGAAGAAACACAGAAGAAGCTCCGATCCTTCTTCTCCAGCAGAAGGTCCTTTCCTCTCACATCTCTTCCCAGACAGTCTTCCTGATACCTAGTTTTTCTTCATACTCCGTAATTCGTAATGTTCGTGCAATATTTGTGGGATGTGAACAGATGAAGTGAAAAAGAAACGCCGTAGAAGAGAGGAAGACGGAGAAGATGGATCCAGAAAGAAGAAATCTAATAAATCTTCCAAACGCCATTCCGGTATAAGTGTGGTGTTCACATATGTCATTTGGATACGAAATAGGTCTTATTTGGTTTTGATTGCGTCTGCCATCGATTGTTTCACAGCTTAAAAATTTATCAATCACATTCTTTCAAATGGTTGGGAATTGTAATTAGACTTTTTTGCACTTCATCACAGCTCCTAAAACGCCATCAAATCATATTAATGCTTGGGATCCAGTCTGGTATTAGATTCAACCTTAAAGATAGACTTATAGTGTTCTAAAGTTAATCTGCACCATTAAAAAGGCTAATATGATCCCAAACAATCTTTGGTCTGATAGATTTTTTATTATTGTTTCCTAATGCAAGAACAAGGAAGCATGTTCTTAGCCAGTCGTCCATGTTAGTATGATACCAAATGGAACGAAACGAACCTAGTGTATCCCACTCAAGAGTAAGGTCTGGGGCATGATGTACTGAGACCTTAACTCATGGATTAGAGATTCCATTTCTAAGAAGAAATGTTTGTATAATGTACTAACTAATGCTCTTTTGATGCCAAAGCGAACTAAAATCTTGAGATGGGGAATATAATGAGTGGTATAAATACAGTCGTAGAAAATCAACGGAAAGATTCCTATGCTAAGAAAATATAAACATTAGTGAAACAGAGTAGTGATGATTTGCCTGGAACATAGTGCTCTTTGGTAGCCAAGGATGACTAACCAGTAGCTTAAACTTTTATCATGCATGAATACTGCATACGTGATGGTTTCCAATCTTGCTCGACTCCAGTCCTAGACAATCTCCTTCGCTATGTCCTTCTCTTATGGAATTTTTTTATGTCACACTATATTTCCTTGGCTAAATCTCAATATATTTCTGCTGCAAAATCTATTAACTTAAATTTCTTTAAGAGTGAACCTTCCTTCTTAACAGTTGACACATCTTCCCTTTACTACATCGATAATGTTATTGCCTTGTGTAATTAGATGCCCGGATTATTTAGGAAAATTTTCAATTTTGTACTATGGTTTATATTTTTTGAAATTATATTATACCCCGTATATGTATGAATTAATGTTCTGTGGGTTGAAAGAAGTCTTAGCCTCTGATATCATTTCAGAGAAGTCAGGAGAGGGGCATAAAAGTAAAAGCCATAAGCATAAAGATTCCAAGGTGAGTTCTTTTTTTGTTCTTGTCATTACAATAGTTCCACATTTTAAATCCATCTCGCATTTGAAATGAAAAAAATAATCCCAATATCCCTTGTCTCTCCTTATTATGTAAACCTTCTCCCCTTAGATATTAAATATGATTATACGAGTGCTAGACCCATCCTTGTTTTCATCCCGATTAAAAAAAACCTTTATATGCCTCTAGTGCCCCGTATGTCCATGGATTCCTACCCTATCAAAAAAGGATTTGATATTTATCACTGTTGTTGTGCTAATACTATTAATTTCCATCATGAAAGAAATGCAACTCTCCATGTATAATACTCCCTCCGTCCAAAATTAATGTTCCCAGTTTGACTCGGCACGCAAATTTATGTGGAATGAAAATTGGTTTGACTTTACCATTATACCCCTCAAGCTTTTAGCCCTCTCCCCCCACTGACAACTACACCCCACCGCCGCCGCTGCCACTCGCCGTCGAAAGCTCGCCGCCGCCGCTGCCCCTCGTCGTCGAAAGCCGCCGCTGCCGCTTCCCCTCGCCTTCAAAAGTCCCCGTCGCTGCCCCTTCTCTGTCGAAATTCCCTGCCGCAGCCCCCTCGCCGTCGAAAAGATTGCATTTTAATTTCGGTCAGATGCAACGGTAGGAGATGCAATTGGTCAGATTTAAATGCAATCGGTAGGAGATGCAACGGCGGCGGCGATCTACCGTTTCCACTTCCGATTTAAATGCAATCGGTCAGATTTAAATGCAATCTTTTTTAGTTTAATTGTGGTCAGATCTTGTCTGATCTAGATCGAAAGGGGGGGAAGAAGAAGAAGAAGAAGAATCGGTAGAAGATGAAGATGATGAAGGAAAATTCAGAAGGGGAAAAAGAAGAAGAAAGGAAAAATCTTAAGAAGAAGAAAGAAAAGTAAGAAAAAGTCAGAAGGGGAAGAAGAAAAGAGAGAGAGCGTGAGAAGGAAAGAATCGGAAGTGTAAACGGGAAAAGGAAAAAAAAAAGAAAGAAAAAAGGGAGAGGAGAGGAAAGGAGAGAAAAGTAAAAGAGAAGGGTAATTGAGTCTTTTTAATAAAAAAAGTTGCCAAAAATAGAAATGGGAACTTTAATTGTGGACATCCAAAAAAGGAAAGTGGGAACTTTAATTATGGACGGAGGGAGTACTATTGTAGAAATAAATTGAATGTTTTGGTTCTGCTTCAAACTCATGTTCCGAAACGTATTTAGCCACAATAGCTCATCTGATTTGGTGTCCCATTCTTATGTACATCACCACCGTCCAATCTTAATGCTCTGATCTTGTTTGACGGGTAATAGCACCCTGTTCTACATTCCAGGAAAGATGAATTTTGAATTGTGTTATAAGATTATGTTGAAATCTTGGTTGCATGATGCTTTTATGCAGCCCCACATTTTCAATGTTTTGCTGAAGGATTCCCTTGACTTCTTTGAAAACGTTCCCGGAGTCCTACATAACTAATGTACTATCATATCCCAGTACTTTGTGCTTGATTTTGAGTAACTTTCACAACAGTAGGACATAGTCTGGTTTCTATTGTTTCTTTGTTATTATTTTCTTTGGATTTGTGAAAAGTTGTTCTATTTTATTTAGATTCAAGTCCTCCACCATTCTCATACTTCTGAATCCTATTTTGCTTGGGATGTCCCCAATGTATCAATCTTAGCTTGGTTATATACCTAGACATTGATGCTCTCCCTGAACTTTGCAGCCTGAGTCATATATAATTCTTATTTTTGTTTTTTCTTTTGCTTCTCTTCATGAAAACTCACAGAAGATAAAGTTTGAAGAACTGTCAAAGGATGACTATTTCTCAAAGAACAACGAATTTGCGAGCTGGCTGAAGGAAAAGAAAAATATGTTTTTCTCGGATCTATCATCCGAGGTTGCTCATGGCTTGTTCTCAGACTTTGTCAAGGCATGGAACAAGGGAAAGCTAGCTAGTGAATACTACGAGGGCATATCAACCGTGCCAAGATCATCTCATAACTGGAACATCAAGGCCTAAGCCAAATCGGCAACTCCTTGAGGTGGTGCCGAATTCCAACTATTGGCTTCCACCACTTGTAAATGCTGCTGAATGAGAACTACCATGACTTTTTATGCAGCAGTGTAGCTGGAATAGGGCTTTTGTAAAACTGAGTCTAACTGACTACTGGATAATTTGAGTTTTACTACGTACTTGTTTATTATCGAGTTGTGCTAGGGGGCTTTTCCCTTTATCCAGACTCTAGTGTCCTGCCTCCATAATTTGAGTCTTCTTTTGCCAGGAATTTGTGTGAAAAGAGTTTTCTTAGGGTGAGGGAAAATGATTTGGTGGAATTCAAATGATTTTCATATGTTGATTGTTTCTCAGTCTCAATTTAAATTGTTTGTCTTGGTTTACGATGTTTGATTGAAGTTATTTTTAATACAATTTGTTTGAGAATTTGAGTGAATTAAGAAAATAATTACATATTAAAAAAGTACATCAAAAGCTCTGTGAAACAAATAGTGATATGATTATATTATTTTATCAAATGATCAACAATAATTGAGAAAGTGAACGAAGTTTGTACTCATAAATAAAAACATGCAGTGTAATTTTGGACGGAAGGAGTACGCGTACGTCACTTAATTAATGCGTGACGTGACATATATAACCCTTGTGAGCATCTGCATACGCTTGGCGTAGACTTTTTGTTCGAGACCTAAGCTTTGTTGACACTTAGGGTTGTTCAAGTTTGGGTTAGGTCCGAAAAAATTATCTGAACCAGATCGTTGGGTCCAGATCCATCCAAAATATTTAGGGATTTGAGTGTCTATTCAGTCCGGTCCAAAGCAATCTAGGTCCGGACTGATTGGATTGAATGGACCTAATAACCTATTGAATCTAAAAGATCTAAATACTAAAATTTTACTTATAATATTCGATATTACATGATAATGCATTATTTTGATAGATATATTAATTTATTTAATTAACAAGGTTTTTGTTTTAAGTAATTTTTTCGATAATTCAAAAAAAAATTGTTTCCTGTAATTTTTATGATCATACATAGAAGTAGTCTATGATATAATTATTAATTAATAGATTAAAATAGTTAAAAAATATATTTTTATTCGGTCAAATCGGTCTGGACTAGTTTGGTCCAAACCAAATAGATTTAGGTGCGGTCTTTGGTCCATGATTTTGTTCAATTTGGTCTTCAGTTTGGTTCAGTTCAGTATTGGACTGATGAACACTCCTAGTGATAGTAATGTTATTTTGAGACAAAGATACATAGCCTGTAGAATTAATTTATGAAACAAGTTTTTTGTATTCATATTGTGTAGAATTTATTTATTCCAAAATTTATTCTTACCATTTGAAAAAATGTGCAAAGTTTTCTCACATTTAAAATTATTTTACTAACAAATTGGTAAAAAAATAAAAAGTACACATTATATCGTTCATAACTGTAACAAAAATTTTACAAAACAAGAGGTGACAAAAATATTATTTTTTATCAAATGATCAATAAAAGTATATGCATACAAATACAAGTTATTGAGGGGCCATACTAGTAAGTGAGAATATTTATTTGGGAAGGAGATATTATTGTTCAAAGAGATTGAATTATTTGAATGGGTGTTGCTATATCCACCCCTATTTTTGGTTATATAACTCCATTAATGTTAAATTGATAATTTTAATCTCAAAAATACAAGAGTGAATTTTGTTCTAAGGCTACTTTTAAATGCGAAATTATCCATTTAATAAAAAAGGAGTGGATTTATCTAAATTGAGAGTAGATATAGCAATAGCCTATTTGAATATACACACTTCAAAAAACCTAACAAGGAAACTAATTTAAGAGGAGTCCCAGGTGAACACCACTTAGGGTACATTACATGTACACCAAGTCTAAAATAAGCATACAAACATTTAATGTTTGTGCAAGCACAAATATTAAGTGTCTGTGTGTACCTATTTTTGGCTTGGTGTACATGTGGTGTAACTCAAGTGGTGTTCACCAAGCATTTTTCCTAATTTAAACGTGAGTAATAGAACGTTATCTTAATACAACATAAATATTTGCTTAATATTCTTCCTCAAATGGGAGTGTGATGATTTTTGAATGTCTATATTCGTCAGTTGTATAGTTTTTCGCATGTTTAATTAGAAAATAATCTTGTTTCATTATTACTAGACTTTCCCTTTTCAAGATTATTCAATTCAAGCCTTTACTATAACGGCCTAAAAGATCGGTGTAGAAATTATGTGCTATTCTGAATGAATAAATGCTCTTCCGCTCATTTTTTCGTTCCCGTTTATTATTATGACTTCTTGATAATTTACCAGTGCTAACATATTTTCAGGGGCACTATGCAGAGTACCCACAATAGAGGATCTTATAAGCACTAGATACCTTAATACAGAGTAACAACAATGGAGAAAGAGATAATCTATGAGTAGTACTCCCTTCGTTCTTAAAACATTGTCACAATCTGAATATTTTTGTTAAACTATGACACCCTTTGACCTCTAATTATGAAAAAGTATATTTAGTTATAATGTAAATTTAATAAATTTGGATTTATTTTAAAATATAGTTTTGAAATATCAAATTTTTATAATATTTAATTATTTTAAACTATATTTATTCATGATCAAAAGGTGTCACAGTTTAACAAAAAAAGTTAAATTATGTCATTAGAGAGAAAAAGAGTAATAAATTTATAAAGTTTGTGACAATTCCTTAAATTGTAATACTAGAGTCACAAACAAACAACTCACAAAATTTACAAACTTTCCCTTTTAACATTTTTCTAAATATAAGATGCACCCAAGTAATAAATGATATTTTAACTTAAAATCCACAAAAAGAAAATTTGTAAAATTTGTGAACTATTTGTTTATGATTCTAGCATTTTCTTAAATTGTAACAACAATTGTATTGCACGTAGGATTCAGTATTCAACGTCCATAAATGTAGCTAGTGCGGATAATCAACATCATTTTTATTCCTTTTAAATCAATCTGATTCCCCTTTTCTCTCTCTCTCTACCAGATCCCTCTCCCTCTTCTACTGCGCTAAATCGAAACCCTTCCTCCCAATTTTCATTCAAATCGGAGAAATTTAGGCGGGAAAGATGTCGGGGAAGGGAGCTAAGGGCTTGATCATGGGGAAGACCTCCGCCGCTGCGGCCAACAAAGACAAGGACAAGGACAAGAAGAAGCCCACATCTCGCTCCTCCCGCGCTGGTCTCCAGGTGCTTTTCTCCGTCTATTCCCCCATCTCAATCTCTCTTTAAATCTGCCTCTTTGCGTCTGTGTGCTTTTTAAATCTGCATGTTTGATTGCCTTGAAGCTGAAGTAGTTATTCTTGAATTCATTGGCCTCACGGCATATTTGTTTACCAGGTGATTCTTTTGTTCCATTGACTTTTTTTGGTTTGTGTTAGGATAGTTTAATTGGAGTTTTATACCTTTTCTGGTCGTGTTCGTTAACTGATTTACTGCTTCTGAAGCTCGCTGGGTTTTGTTTTTTGTAGATCTGTGAAATTGTTGCAGGGTTTTCACTTTTTACTGTATATATTTCTGTTTACTGGAGGTTTTAAGAGGAGTTTAGAGAATCTACATTCGATTGATAGCATAAGCGAATTCATCTACATCGATCTATAAGTCTTGATGAAAATCTGCACGTGCTGGGTGCAAATGGATTTCAACTATTCGAAACTTGAACGTGATGGTTATTCATCTTACTTTTAGATCAAGCGTAGGGTTTAGGAATTAGAAAGATTCCTTTTGAGAAAGATTGTTGTAGGGGGGTTTTCTTTGTGTTTGGGTGTAGGATTCTTCTCTAGTTTCTGATCCTCCCATTTCCCTTGCCTCTTCTTCCTTGGTCTAGTGTGTACGGAGTATTTTACTAGGGTTGTAGGACATTATCTGTGTTTTCATGTCAAAGCAATAGGTACTTTGCCCAGGACAAGATTTACTAACTCCGAGGTAGAAACTAGACAACTAGTATACTGTTTTTATGTGTTAGTAATGTCCTATCACTTTCAATTTGGCTGTTCATTTTTTTCGGTACGCATTCATTGTTCATTTAGTATGGAGTTGAGCTTGATGGACACAGTGCATTGCTTGAAGCCAAAGTCATGTATTATTCTAAATGCTTTTCATCTTAAAATCCTTGTTATGGGAACGGGAACACGGAACCTTTCTTTCATTTAAGGCAACATTTGCATCATATTCTTTTAGATTACCTTAAATTATAAGATGAATTCCTAGAAGGTAATGTGAAATATAAATGTAAATTGACCATGTAAGTTTTAGATTACCTTAAATTATAAGATGAATTCCTAGAAGGTAATGTGAAATATAAATGTAAATTGACCATGTAAGTTTGGTATACATTGATGTAACCATCTAATTTTGAGGGTAAAATCGGAATAAAAAAAGTACTCCGTAATATTTTACTTCATATGGGGTAAGACTTAAGAAAACCAGAGTAGCTAAACTCAGCATTGTTTCATATTTCCTAGTGACAATTATGTGATATTTCATTGCTTCATACTCTATTTCCTAGTGACAGTTTTGTGTTATTTCCTTGCTAATCTGATAGCTTTAACTAAACAAGGTTGTACAATGTTATTGGCTCACATTACCTGACCTGGGTAATGTGAGATAATACGAACCAAACACCCCTCTAAAATATATTTTTCGTAGCCAAACACTCATTTGAAACTCAGTATTGAAGTGGGAACTGGGAACCTTTTGTTAAATCTAAATGTGTTGAAATAGAACGTTTTAAGGGTTCCACCTTTCTGTATCTTGGGAATTCGTATGATAACAGACCACTTATTTGGAAAAGCTGGTAATAAAATTTTCTTTTCTAGTTTTGCTTTGTTGCCTGGGGAAAGTTCCATTATTTAATTGATCCATGTTGTGGATTAACATCTGCAGCAGCAACAGTAGATTCCCCCACCCATCTTTTAAAAAACTCTTTATGGGATCTTCTTTCCTTGTGACAAGCCCAGCAAGTGAAATGATCTTGGGTGCATCACATGACACACCTTTATTTGGTTGCAAATCACATGTAAAATGCAGTTTCCAGTTGGACGGATTCATCGGTTGCTGAAAGAGAGAACAACAGCAAATGGAAGAGTGGGGGCCACAGCAGCTGTCTACTCCGCAGCTATCCTGGAGTATTTGACTGCCGAAGTGTTGGAGCTGGCTGGGAATGCGAGCAAGGATCTTAAGGTGAAGCGTATCACTCCAAGGCATTTGCAGCTTGCGATCCGAGGAGATGAAGAACTTGATACCCTGATAAAAGGAACCATAGCTGGAGGCGGTGTCATCCCCCACATCCACAAGTCACTCATCAACAAATCATCCAAGGAATGAATGATATGAGACAATAAGCTCTCATTTCATGCTACACCAATCTGAGCTACCTGCTGTTTGTTTCCTACTTCCATCTAGGTTCGTCTTGGTCGTTAGCTATTCTGAACGGGTTCGTTGTTTAATGATTCTATAACCTTGTGTTGAGCTGTTGACCATATTACATCAGTTGCTCTAATATCTCCATGATATTCTGGACATGGTTTATTTGTTGAGGAAAGCATCGTTTTTACTTAATTGATTCATTAGTTTTAATGAACTTCCAACCAGAGATTCAAATGCTCTACTCGTTTTGTAGTGACTAAAATGAGGGAAATGGTCAGGGTGGGCATGTAGAGTAGTTGGAATTGTTCCATGATGGCTCTTTAACTGTTAGTCCCACTTTGTTGCTACCCAGCATCAACAATTCGCTCAAAGTCTGTTTTATTGCAGTTAAGAACAGATGCCGAGTTAGAATTTGAAGAATGGATTATGCTATGTGTACCCCAAGTTTTGTACCCCAATTTGTACCCCGCAGTTTTGCACCAACACTTTGTGTTGGTGTAAAACTAATTTTTGTTAAATGCACCAACATTTGTGTCCGTGTGAATTTTTATTAACGCACCAACACTTGTGTCGGTGTAAACCATCGAAATGTTTGTGCAAACCTGTGGTGTACAAATGGGATATATTTTTTGGTGTAAGTGTAGCATGGTCCTCTTCTTCTCCTTCTCCTTCTCCACTTCTTCGTTCTTCCTCCACCACTCACACTTATTTCTTCTTCTTCTCCTTACATATTATTATTATTATTATTATTATTAT